ATTTCTAATTTGAATTGAATTGATTGATTAGTGATTAGTGAATGAATATTATTTTCAAAATAGAAAAAATTTATAATTATAAATTATAAAATTACTCATTATAAATTAACATTTCTGGATCTTTTTCAAGAAGTCAAAATTTCTGTTTGGATGGGACAATGACTCTTTTGATATTTTTTATATATACAATGTTTAAAATTTCTTTCACTTGGTTGTAGTTGAGTATTTCCTTCTTATTTGGATCACATGCATATTGTTAAATTTTTTTTTTGATTTTGTAATAAACTTTATATTCAGGTATCAATTCTTGGTTTTCCATGCACACAAAACTTTTTTTATATATTTCATAATCTATTAATTAATAATTAAGTTAATTATGTATTTTTAAAAAAGTTACTATTAAATATAACTTGTAGCATGTATAGACTATGTATGCTTGCTTTATTTTTTATTTAGTGTGTTAGTGAAAATTTATTATTATTTTAAACATTTATTTATTTTATGGGATTCTTATTAATAGTTTCCCACTTACTACAGTTCACTCTCTCTATAACAAACTCATCCAACTTCTTAATAAAGAAATTGAAAAAAAAAAATCAACTTTTTTTAATATAATATATGATTATATTATCAACATCAACAAAAATTCCTCAATAAAAAGAATATTTTGTGGTGAATGTTGGTATCCATCTCTATATGTGATTTTTTATTCATGTTTACTAAGATTATAAGGAGAAATTAATAAAAAAAAGTGAAAATTGTTATAGAAGTGTATATACAAATGCATAATTTATTTCTTCAATAATGGGAAAGTATTATACGCATATACATATATATTCAGGTATCAATTCTTGGTTTTCCATGCACACAAAACTTTTTTTATATATTTCATAATCTATTAATTAATAATTAAGTTAATTATGTATTTTTAAAAAAGTTACTATTAAATATAACTTGCAAAAAAGCACAAGATATATTATTATTATATTATTATTGTTATTATAGCAGCAAATAAACAAATATTTTTTTTGTTGTAGCATTATTAATATTATTGTTATGGTTATATAATTCAACAAGAGTTTTTTTTGTTTGCTTTGTAGGAAGTTGTACTCCTTTATTTCTTAATATTTGTTTTAATTCTTTAATTGTTTTTCATGCCATAATAGTAATAAACAAATATATAAACAATAAACTTGAATGCAACAATGTAATTAATGCTTGCTTTCCAACCAAATTTAAATGTTTGTTAATATCTGGAATAGTAATTTTATCAGATACTATAGAAGAATTATTAATTTATAATCTTGGCCTTCTAAATGTACCTTTCTCCTCTTATCTTTATGCTCATTGCTAGACATCCATTTTTTGTAAGGTGATTTGCTTAAGTGTAGCTATATATTAAATTATATATTAAATATGTGAAATTTCTAACTGCAAAAGAGATTTCTATATCTAACATCTGAATTACTTAAATTTTACTGAATTACTTTGACAATCTATAAAATAGAAGGTGGGAAGTCAGATATATTGTTGATATTGTTATACAATTGATTTTGGTGGGATATAATTGAATTAAAGTCAGTTGATGGGTCAGTTTGTATATAAAACATATAAAGCATATGGTGTAATTAATGCCGATCATTTCTCAAAATTGAATACAAGGATCATTTCCATATTAGGAAAGAACAGACAATAAAATTATTATGTCGTGTGTCAAAAAAATTTTCTTTCAAAACATTCCTTTATTTTTCATTTTTGGCACAAGCTGCTTGCACTATTGATTTATTCTTTGGAGATTTTATGAAAAAGTCCAGGATGTTAATGGGTGGAACTTATTCCTGGTTGATACGAAGTATAGTAGTATAATTACCCCA